TGGCTGGGGAGGGGAGGGTGGGAGTGGATCACTACTCAGGGACTAATCGGGCATCAGTTGGCGAGTGGTGAACAACTCCACTGTGCATCACTTGTTTTGGATGTTTCAATTCTTTTATTATTATTATTATTTTTTCTTCCTTTTTGTCTTATTAAACTGTCTTTATCTCAATCCACAAGTTTTACTTTTTTTTTTTTCTTTTTCAATTTCTCTCCCCCATCCCACTGGGTGGGAGGGGAAGTGAGCGAGCGGCTGTGTGGTACTTAGTTGCTGACTGTGGTTAACAACAGTCCCAAACAATTTGTTGCTACTTCTGTTAAATTTAGGACTTAGTTCATTATATTTTATTGTTTTAATGAAAATAGGACAAATGTGTATATTAAATACGTGTACTTAAAAAAAAAAAAAAGTAAGCTACTTTACCGTTAAGTCTCTGAAGGGATGTAGCAACAAACCCAAAGGAAGCTTAGCTTTGTTTAACAAAGCCTGTGTCTGTGGAATATTTGTCAATGTACAACGAAATGAGCTGAAAGGAAATAAAAACATTATGTTCAAATTTTAAAAGATGTTAAAAACATTGTGTTAACACCTGATTTTAAAGAGTTCTGAAATTTAAGTAATCCTGTTTTACAAAGCTGATTTACTAAACAAAATTAATGCATCAAAGAGATTAAAAAATTCCTAAAGAAACAAACAAAAGAAATACTCCCCCACTTCCCAATTTAGTAATTCAGCAATGCAAGCATACTAAAATGAACTTGCAATACAAAGATAAAACTGCTTTAGGTACAATGCGCAACGTAAAATGAAGTATTTTTTTATTCATTATAAAGATTTTTTGGGTGAAGTAACTAAAGGAGGAATACAGTATTTACTAGTTCTTAGAAAGTAGTATTTATATAACAAAACAGTAAAAAAGGATCTCAAATACCAAGTCAAAACCTTTTGTGTATGAAAAGTGAAGGATGGACTTAAAGCTACATAAAGGGCACTAAAAAACCCAATGCACTAATAGTGCTGTCCAAACTGTTCTACACATAAGGATGATTTTGAGACCCCCAGTTTTCTGATTTCTGTTTTCTGGTGGCACCATGCATTGTCACTAGGGCAGCAAGCTGAGTTAATTTGGGGCAATGAATAAAATTTATTTTGGAATTACAATTAAGATCTTTAGGGAGAGCAATTTCCATTGTACCAAGCTGCACTTGACTTGGGATAACAGATAATACTATTTAGTGTTAATTAGGGGTGAAAGGATACATCATGATTGCAGGATTACCACAGTAAAATGTACTCACAGTTTATTCAGTGTATTTAGGCATGATCATCATAATTTTCTGGAAAAAATCCTATGTAATATTACAAAAATATTCTATGAAATGCACTGCATAACATTAAGGTATTTGTTAATAGATTTATTTTTTTTTTAGATGGATAAAACAAGGCAAAGATTAAGCAGGTGTCCTGGTTTCAGCTGGGATAGAGTTAATTTTCTTTCTAGTAGCCAATACAGTGTTATGTTTTGGGTTCAGTACCAGAAGAATGCTGATAATACACTGATGTTTTCAGTTGTTGCTAAATAGTGTTTAGACTAAGTCAAGGATTTTTCAGCTTCATGCCCAGCCAGCAAGAAGGCTGGAGGGGCACAAGAAGCTGGGAGGGGACACAGCCAGGGCAGCTGACCCGAACTGGCCAAAGGGGTATTCCATAACATGTAACATCATGCCCCGCATGTAAACGTGGGGGAATTGGCCAGGGAGGCAGATCACCACTCGGAGACTAACCGGACATCAGTCAGCAAGTGGTGAGCAACTGTGTTGTGCATCACTTGTTTTGTATATTCCAATCCTTTAATTATTATTGTCATTTTATTATTGTTATTATTATCATTATTATTTTCTTCCTTTCTGTCGTATTAAACTTTTCTTATCTCAACCCATGTTTTACCTTTCTCCTTCCAATTCTCTCCCCCACCCCACTGGGTGAGGGAGAGTAAGCGAGCAGCTGCATGGCGCTCACTTGCTGGCTGGGGTTAAACCACAACAGCAGGTTTCTTAATGTTTTAATAAATAAACTACACTCACACTGCATATAATGTATTTTAATGGCAGGACAGTTTCAACATTTGTGTAAGGATACAGAGGACTGAAAGGGGTTATATTAGCTCATCACAAAGATTTAAATTCAGTAGTCAGTTTAAAGGTTTTTTTGACACTTTAAATAATTTTTAGTCACTGAAAAATGTAAGATCCTGTCCTAGACACAGTATACTTACTCTGGACTGCAGTTTAATTTCCTAAGATCAGAATTCAAGTTAGGCACAGGTGCTGGAACTGATGATACAGGCAAAATATTTCTATCTTGTGTAAGGTTTACTGGTCTCAAGCTTTCCGGCTGCTGAGAATGCTGTAGACTTAACCCTCCTAAGGAAGAGGACAGCTGGTTCACACCTGGATATTGCTGAAAAATGTAAGAGCATTGCAAATGGGTAAACACACAATTATGTTTAAATAACAACCTTAAATCTTCTTGTAATTCCAATTCTTCCAGACATGTATTAAAAAAAGATACAATACTAGTTAGTAACAAACCCAAACAAACAAGAGAAGAGTTGTATGGTAGAAAATTAAAAATGCTAAGACAAATGTGACATACCTTCCAAATATGTATCATAGACAAATTCAAATTCATGATACAAATCAACACTGGAAGTCACACACAGTCCTTTAAGCTTTCCAGGCATAAGAAAACAAGTTACTAGAAAGGCTGACAATTTTTTTCCCCTCTTCAAAGATGTTACAATGTAAATTTTCCAAGTTACAGACACTACTTTTATATATTTAGTTTTAAATTAAAAAAAAAACAAACACCATAGAAGAGGAGAAAAGGTTAGGCTGGAAGGCACCTTTGAGGTCTGGCAGTCCACCCCCCTGCTCAAGCAAGGCTAACTTCAAAGTTAGATCACATTGCTTATAGCCTTGTCCAGCTGAGTTCTGAAAATATCTAAGGATTCAAGATTTCACAGCACAATCTGTTCTAGTGCTTCCCCACTTGCATTCTGAAGAATTTTCTCGTTATACATTCAACCAGAATTTCACTTGCTGCAACTTGTAATTGTTGGGTTTTTTTCTTTTACTGTGTACTCCTGAAAAGAGCCTAACTCCATCTCAAATTATAGTGAACATAAAGCTAAGCCCTTCTTACAAAAAAAAAAAAAAAAAAAAAATTAAACATTTCCTCCAGGTCATATATTACATTACCTTCATAACAGTGAAAGCATTCCTGGATATTACATGCTAACTCATGGTACTACACTCAGATCATTAAGGAATTTTGATCACCTACAACAGCAGCTTTGATACATTTGCCAGCTGGGCCCTATTTCAGAGCATGGGATCTATAAATCATCACTTTTTTTTCTACACCCCTTCACACATACACTTCTCTGCACTGCTTCAGCATTTGTATTTTGCCTCAGCATCTGCCTCTTCTTCAGATTTCACTGTTCTTGGGTGACTTGTGTGCACAACGGGAGCCAGGTGACTGTACATAACTCCTAGGGTGTTTGGTGCTCTCTTTAACGGGAAAATAGAGCAGATGCAGGCAGTCTGCTCCACTACACACCCAAGCACAGGCTCTACAGAGCTCTTTCATCTGGAGCCTATGCCATACATTGTTTCTAACTTGATTTAAAGCTTGAGATCATAACCCATAGTAGTGCTCTGATCAAACGTACGTTTCCTGATCAAGTACTTCATTATGCTTCTGTACCGCTCTTTGAAACACCAAACTTTAAAACTGTGGATGCCGCTAATAACTGGTGAAGCAAACTTGTTAAGCCTAACTATTTGGAGACAAACTTAAAATTTTAATTCAAAAGCCTTCTAATAAGAAGTTAAGACCCAGAGCTATGACATCAATATTATACTTAACGTTTATAGTCTCAGAAATTATAAAAATAAGATACGAAAATACTTCATGAACTAACTTTTAAATTAAAAATACAAACCTGTGGATAGTGCTGAAACCCAGGATGGTGTCCTGGATTATTGGGCTGCACAGGAGCAGGTGGCGCTGCATTTTGGTAGCCAGGCTGCAGTGTTGGATATCCATAACCAAATGGCTTAGAAGCTTTTGATGTTTGGGGGACTGATGGAGCAGGAACTGGGCTGCTGGTCACAGAACGTGTCTCTGGAAGGACAAAAGAATTCTCACAGATATTGAATATACTTACTATTTCTTTAAACCCCTAAATTAATGAACAACACTTCCATTTGTAAGTTTTTGCTTTACCCATCAAGTTGTTTATCTGCACTGACCAAATAAATTAGCATAGAAGATTACTGCACTTATGCTGATGAAGGGGGTATACATGGGAAGATGACCATAGACTTGTGTAACAACTAACAAAATGCTATTTTACCAAAAAAGGCAACTTAAAAAAAAAAAAAAAGTATTTCAACTGAATTAAAAAAAAAGAAATAAACACCCCTTAGAACCACATTTTATTCCAAGATTTGCACTCGATATAAACTGCAAAAAAGACCATTCATGCTTAGTCTCTCCTCTACCACTTATTAATACTTTTAAAACATAAGGGTAAGGTGACAGAACTATTCTAAAACATGGACACAGAGCTTTTCTTGAAGTAATGCAAGTCCCTCCTGTATAACCCTGCAGCACAGTTCAGTCCCACTATTTTTAAAGGCCAAATTGAAAGTAACACATAGACCTACATTCATAGAAAACTTAACAGCTGTAAAGAGATGAAACTACTCTTTAGAAATGTCTACAAATGAGAGCTAAGTTTCAGAAGAATTTAAGCTTGGTAAAATCCACTGGGGAAAAGTGGCAGGCGAAGAAACCAACCACTCAAGAAATCAACCACCAAGAAACTATGTTTGGCATGACTACTCCAGAAGAAAAAAAAAAAACTAAAAAACAAAATAAATCAACAGATCAAAGAAATTTAAAGTTGATCCTGTTACTCTTGAAGGAAAACAGAAGGAAAAAGTTATTTTTAGAATATGCCTTCAGCAGAACCAAAATGGTTAGTTATTAGCTGAGACATTAGAATTCATAATCCTGCAGCCATGCCTCTGCTACCCTTACTGCATGAGCTGGAGCCTATATGGATAGCAGTATTGGCTTTTTACTTGACTGAGATTTCACTTTACACAGGAACCTAACAAACTAAGGAAACTACTGTGGCATTCTCAGAGGCCAGAGCAGTGTAAAAGAGCCAGATGGGGAGGCCTCACAAATTAATCCAATTATCATTTAAAATATTGGCTAACATACCTACACTGAACAACAACTATTCCACCTGCTCTCAATGTGACAGCTCTACAGATTTCAAGATTGAGGTAGTCTGCTAGTAGGTTCGTTGAGAACAAACCTTACACTCCTGATATTTTTAGAGATAAAAATATGCAAAATAGCAGCCATTTTCTTTAAATGAAGAAAAATAGAAGAAAATAACCTGACTCAAGCATCTCTGCAAGCTGATACCGTTGGTCTCTCAAAACTTAAGTGGTGTGTCAAATATTATCAGCTACTAATCTCAACACAACCAGGCATATAGCATAACCTAGAGAAAGATGCCTGCTTTCAAACAGAGCATATTTTCAGCACTACCCTCAATATTACAAGGGAAAGTATGACATAATTCAGGGAAGTTTTATTAAATGGTTACTCCAATTTCGGTGTTAAAGCTATGAAAAGTGATTCAAAAAGTGAGGTGATCAGAAAATCTCTGATGATTGCCCCCACTCCTTTCATAGGCATTTCCTTTCACCTACTTGTTAATTAACAATAAACACCACCAGAAATGGGAAAAAAAAATCATAAACAGTAAACATTTAAGTCTTAAACCAAAAAATTCAGAATTAACATGCACTAGACTGCTTACCTGGATAGCCACCTCCTTCCAGGGCATCATAATTGTTCAGAACAGGAGAGGCACTGCTTGTAGTAGAGGAACTATCAATTGCTGGGGGAGGAAAATAATTTAAAGTTAGGTTCTTCAGAAATGGCAAATTTTTGAGAAATAAGAGACTGAGAAATTTTTTTCTCAAAACTTTGGTAAGAAGCTGTCATGAAAGATCCTGGGAAGAAACACCACTTCAGGCCCAAGACTAGAAAGCTATTACGACTGCAAAGAGGAGGGGGAGGTAGAGATAAACAATCAACATATTAAAAAACAAACAAGCAAGCACATCCAACAAATAGCAAGAGAGAGATCAATGGGAAAAGGACAAAAACAATGAAAAAGACTTGTTTCTTGAACTAAAAAAATATTTTTCCATTAAACTAAAAGTGCTTTCTAGACTACATCAACTGAAGATAGGTACATTTTAAAGTCTCTATCCTGACTTCTTTCACAACAGCGAACAACAGAAGATTCCCATCATTTTCAGAGTGATTACGCACTATCCCCACCTTCAAGCAAAACTGACAAGTATTTAATTTCTTCCTCCTTTCTGTGATGTTGTAATTCAGAGCTTGTTTTGTTTTCAACATAAAGCTTCTATTTTCTATTTCACATTGACAAGAGGTCTCAGCTTCAGTCAGAATAAAAGTTACTTTTGGTACAGCCAAAAGTAACTATGTAAAAGTGAGTAACAAAAGTTAACTAGCCAGAAGTAAAAAAAGCACATGGGCACATACACAGTTGTTAGCACTGAAGAGACTCCCAATACTTAAGTTCTAGTTCACCCTATGCATGTATCTTGAATATCTTATTGTAAAACACTACAAACAAAAATATATTTAAACTCATTTCTCCCAGTGCCATTTCACATACATTTCCAAAGAAAAGGGCCAAGGAGATTACAAGTATCTGCTCCTTAAAACACCCCAAGCCATGAAGTGCAACAGAGAATAGTGTATTTAAGAATTTGAAAAAGACAATTATATATATATATATATATAACTTTTTTTGCAGAACAGACTCAAAAGAGATTCACTGATACTGTTCAACTCAGAAGGGTCAATTGTGACCGCACATCCCATTGTGAAGCTGGAAGTATTTCAAGGGAGAACTTCAATGGTGGAACATTTGAGATTTGATCTTCCTTCAATTGAAATTTCCAAATAAAGAGACTCCTGCATACGGAAACATAACATCACTGACATTTGGGACACATTAATACCACGGCAACATCATGACTATACAGGTTATTTTTGAGCATTTTGCTTTTAAAGCATTCAGCTAAGAAATAGAAAAACTATTAAAAAAATCCCCAATGTAACACTAACAATGGATTTTAAATAACATATTAACACTGTGAAACTCATACAACATTAATTTTCAGATTGTTTTTCACTGTAAGGTTCCCTCTTTTTTTTTTCTGAATTTTATAAAAGAACGTAACTGCAAGATTTCTTTTCCTACCAAATTTTATCTTCCTATTCTAGAAACTGAAGGAAACAGGATTCATTATTTTGTTCCCTGAGCATGAACACATCTTTTAAAGATCTGGTAAGTCCTACTACAGAAAAGGCAAAATATACTTTTATTAGGTCAACAAGATCAAGATTTAAGAATTTTCAAGAAGTTTTTCTTGTCTTACCAGAAGCTAGTTCTGCATTTCAAAAAAATACGAGGTTATAAGCACAGTTGTAAACATGTAAGACACTAGCTCAAGCCTTCCATTTTAACCACTATGTCACTCTGTAAAGAGTTTTTCCCACCATAAATTGTATTCATAAAATCATATCCATCTATAACATAATTCCATATAAAATGAGTTTGCTCTTTTCACTAGGAAGATACTAATGATACAGTGAGTTGTAAAGAAGAAATATTATATACTTCCTAAACTCTGCTGGAAAAGTTAAGAGAAAACAGTTTGACAGATACTTGAAAATATATTTTAAAAGCATGCTGCAAGTAAAAATAATGCAACTTAGTTGTACTTCTACTACAACAAAAAAAAATGTATGCATTATTTCTGACATACAGAAAATTCTAGTCAGAAAGTAAAATCTCAGATATTTTGAAACACAAGGTCTGCCTAACTTAAAATAAGAAAGTGAATCCTATTACTGAGTATCCCATATACTTACTGAAGACCTTTCACTTAAGGTCTTTGCTTCTAAAGAACTTTCAAATTTTGGAACATATTCTTGAGACCTATGAGAGTCCCAGTGCCTACAAGAATTACAATGTACCCTGTTCTACTCTCTCCTAGTAAACAACTAGTGGACTCAAAAACAGTGAGTTGTACAGTTTCCTGCAGACCAAAAATAACTTCAAAGTCTAAGCTGGTCACATGTGTCATGGAAATCTCAGAAATTCTCCATCAATAAAAAATACATGAACTTCCACAAAATTAAACAGTTTTCCTACGTTTAAATTAAGCTACAACAGCTGTCAAAGTTAACTTAGCATAATAAGCACCAGACCAGAAAACATATTAGGAAGACAGAAAAAAAATGTTTTATAAAGAAAAAAATATTAGAAAACACTGCTTAGACAAAAGTAATACTTATAACATGCTTTTACAGTTCAGTGATTATTTTACCTATATAACTTTTGCTTTCAGAGTTTTCAAGAACTCTTTGGCAACATAGTTAAAGATCTAACTGTAAGAGTGAGAAAAAAAATTGAGAAGCTACACAAACACAAGCAACCAGATGCCCAACACCTATTTTTCATAAAACCACTGGCACAGCCTGAGCTAGAAACCTGTGTACAGAATCTGTTTTAGGATTTACATTAACTCCTGGTGACAGGGCATAAAACAGGATGCTTATTAATCAGGTAGCCTACATATTGAACCTGGGTGCCCTTTCATTCTTTTGCATAAGATAAACTTAAATACAGTGATAGCTCAAAGGCTACAGGCTTTAGCAAAGTACAGAACTTTAGAGAGAAAGATGGTAGGGAGTATGAAAACTTTGTCCCTGACAGGTTTAGGGAACAAAGTAAGGAGACAAAGACTGGAATTGCTAATAAATAAATAAATAAATCTGACATATCCTTTGACAGAAACCTTGGCATGGGATTAGGCAAAGATGATTATCTGCAGAAAATTCAGTAGGTAGTCCTGCAATAAAAAAAATGAAATGCTCTCCTGGATCTTTTAGCCTACTCTTTAGAAAGCAGAGTTCAAACAGCAGCTGCATCACAACAGCCAAAGCAAACTTTGCATCCCAAAGTCGAATTGTTTTCTAGCTGGTAAAGTCTAATTAGACTCAAAGCATTAGAAATAAACCTGCTATCTAAAATTAGAAAGTACCCTTAGATTTAAAAAGAAGAGTTATTCACGAGTTACTATGCATAATTTCATACTAATACTCAAGCGTGTTAAAAGATCAAATGTGTTACCACACAAGGGGTAAGAAAGTAAAGAAACTGAAACAATAATCTGAAATAGCAAGAATAACACAGGATATGCAAGTATCCTAATACATGTGTTCCACTAGGGATAGGTGTAATAATATCATTTATACTGATACTATTGCACCCTCCAAATACTGTACTTCTCTGGCTGGAACAATGACAAGTGTCTTTGGCTGAAAATGCCTTCCTCCTTGGAGAAAGAACAGCAGTAATTGTTTTCCTTCTAATGTTCTACTAATAATCCAGCATAACAGTTGAATCAATATTATTCAAATTGATAACATGAACCCATTACACCGTTCTTCCTTATGACCTGGATGTCATCATTGTTTTGCTCCATTCTTCATGATATCACTAGGAGTGCACTAAGATATTTTCATAGTATTCTAGTTTATGATTTAATTATTTTAATTACATGGCACTGATTTTTTCTGCCTAGTTACAAGATGAATTATAAGCTTAAAGGAAAAGTTACAGAAGTTTGCTATCCCAAATTAATATTCAAAGCCAGCGCTCACAAATGGGAGTAGTATATCAGCACAAGGTATGTGCTATTACTTCCATCTATCAACAAGGGTAGAAATCTAATGTTTAATCTCAAAAAGCTTTTTACACTGTTACCACTCATATATAGACTGTAAAGACTTTTCTTTAAGTTAGAAGGAAAAAAGTTATCATCCAAGAAACTAAGGTGGTGAGAACCATCAAACTCACAAAACCAGGCCATTCTGACAAAATACAGGCAGAATCCTTGCAACCAAGAACATAACATTTCAATCAATCAGGACAAACTACTACTACTGGGGAAAAAAAAAAAAAAGTAGAAAAACTTTTTAAGTCCCCTACAAAGCAAGCAGGTTAAAACTGAACCTGTGTGCCTGAGCAGAGACATACTTTAGAAGGAGGAAAAAAAAGCAGCACAGACTAATTTACTGTCTTAAAAAGCACACTTACTACCTTTCAATATTTACTTTACTACCTAAATTTTAAGGGTTCCCTATATGTAAAATGAGAAACAAGTTAAACACTGTTTAATGTAATGATACAAATGGCATCTAGTTGCTTAATATAAGCAATTATCAGTCTAAGTTCTAGAGCTGGTTATCTTCAGTTAAGAGTTTAAAACCTACTGCAAATCAAAATATTAGAAATATGGGAGTCTTGGAAGTTGTGAATACTACTGTGTTAGATACTGAAAACATCTGATATTAACATGACGAAAAAAAAAAAAAAAGACCATTTGCTGACCACCACTGAACTCCTTTTTGTTTACTATACTAATAACAGCTGGGAAATTTCTAGTTAACTTGATACATGATGAGTCAGAGTGACGTTTAGTCTTAAAGGAAAAAAAGGTTTCAGGAGATAGAAATAGGGAACAAAACTTGAGTAGGAAGAGAACAAGATACTGGTGTAAAGCTAAAGCCAACCTGCTTCCTCATCCTCCTCATCCTCTTCCTCATCATCTGAACTTGATGACAAGGGAGCTGGTGCAGAGCTAGCTTGATTATTAACATATCCACCATACTGCATGCCTGTGAAGTGGAAAGCACAAACATAAGAGTCAGACAGACAGGAAAGATGAGAAATGAAAGTCACAAATCATTGCATTAAAAGTGAGAGAAATCAGCTGTTCTAGAGAAAATCCCAACATGCAAAAAGTTAAATCTATAACCCTAGACTATAAAACTGTAGTTCATATATGAACTATATGAGCAGTACAGCAGAAGCAGTTTTTAGTGGGCTAGTTTAGTAAAGTAGCACATGGAAGTTTGCAGGCAATTTTTTATATTTTTATATATATATGTATGTGTGTGTGTATGTGCATTTATGTCAGGAAGTTAAACACACACACAAACCTTCTATATATGTATTTAATATCAGTTTGTCCACTGGAATAAGCTAATATAAAGAAATAAATTAGTTCCTTCCCAGATAAATTCAAATTGTCTTATGAAAACATTAATATTAAACTTTTGCTTGGCACACCTGCCCTTTTAAAAAAAGGAGTAATTCACGCTGGAATTCTGAACATTGTCAGAAATAAAATACACTGCTGCTGCAACATGCAAGAGTACAAACATACACCTCAGCAACACAGTGAAATTTAAGCTAGGTAAACCTGAAAACTTGGTTAGTCTTATTTTTAAATTAGTGCCTAAATTCAGGTTCATAGACCCATATTTAAACCTAAATACACTATCCAGTTTTAAGATATGGTGACAACGCAACAACTGCTACCACTGTCACCTCCAAACCATAATCTAGAAGGTTTTTTGGTAGTGGGTTTTTTTGGTTGGGTTTTTTTGTTTGTTTTTTACAATATCTACTCTAAACATATGTGCAAAAGCAACACATACATATACCATTAAAACAAGAGTAAAGCATGCAGCAATGGCTTATAATTAATTTCCTACAGTACTCAATATTGATGCAATTTCAGCATCTCCAAGAAATCTTAAGTTTCTCTTGACACAGTGCAGGGTTAGCAAGGATTTTAAATATGCTTGTAGTCAGGCAGAGACATCCCAAATAAATGCAAGTGACCACTGCTCCTCTCACAAGAAAATATCCTAATTCTTCAAAAGTCTTCAAAACTTTTCAGACTCTTGAGAGTTTGGGATTTTTTTCCCCTGTAGAAGCACTGTGACACCATTAGAGTAGTGTTCTTTATTTTAGCCCTATAAAGCACTACAGAAATGTTGTAGATTATGCATAATCTGAAATTACGCATCCTGGTAATTAATGATCCCCCCCCCCCCCAGCTTAAATCAACTATATCAACCTTTGTTTTATTTAAACTACGGGCTAAAAACACTGTTAGTTTCATGGCTTTTTTAAAAAAGGGTTAGTAAATGGACCCAAGAGGACCACTTCAATTTCACTTAAGAAAAAACAACAGAATCAAGGTGAAGAGTATCTATTCAAACAGTGGAAGTAAAAAGAAAACAGAGCAAAACCATATCACAACATTCTTGAAAAGCTGAACTTTCATACAGAGGTTTGTGCAAGAAGAGACCGACATTTATTTCACTTTATCTAGTGCATTAATACTCCTACAATTCCAATCAAGTTTCTCCACAATACAAGTAGTCACAATGATGAAGGCAAAAATCAAACTAAGTGCAGCTGAGGAGGTACAATGCTTCAGTTTCTATATGGCTAAAACACAGGACTAACAGAAGTGATTCATAGTACCATCTTTTATGAAGGCTACTGGATGCACTTGGTAAGGAGGATGCAAGAAAACTATTCTCTGCACAAAACCAGACTACAGCCAGGGAGACTATGTCTTTTCTCATGCCTGGGAGAGCTACTGAGGAGTAAGACAGAACAACTGCATTATTGTGCAGGAGAAAAAACAACTTAAAATAATTAACATGCAAGTAAAAGGGAAAAAAATAATCAGGAGGACAAGAAGAGATGCGCTGTAACACAGAAAGCCAAAGTAAAAGAAGATGGGCACAGTGTGAGAGCGCAAAGACAGACCTCTAACAAATACCATGTACACAGATAGAAGAAAGAAAGTACATCTACCTGGAAAGGGCATGCCAATGCAAAAAATCCAAGCATGGGCAGATGAGAGAAAAAGACTGAATTAGTCATTCTAATAATGCTACTTTGGAATCTTTGGAATGTTTTTTTGGGAAACAAACTTCTACTTCTAAAACTCCCTCTTTTCCAGTCACTGGTCACATACATAAAAGGATGCATGTGTTCGGAAAGAATACAGAAAAAGAGATTAAAAAATATGCTAGTGACACAGAAGCTTAGGAATCATGAACTATGTCACTATGAATTCTCTGGAGGCAAGGTTGGTTTGATTCTTACCAGCTTTGAGTTTGCATAGACTTTTTAAATTTTCATTGCCAGAAGTACTACAAATTTCTGTCTTTAGGATACTTCTGCATTGTGCTAGCACAACTGTCCAATCACAAAAACAATTTGAGAACTTATTTGGCTGAAAAATAACCTAGTTTAAAAAGTTATTCTCAAGTGGAGAAGCCTCCCATTCTGGTACACTGGCCAGCAATGCCACCAGTAAGCCAGCACAAGGGAGAAAGCAACTGAAGAGCAAAAATGGGTGGCTGAAGACAGCAGTTCCAAGTGCCACCATGTGCCTAATCATGACTTCTGTTCTGACAACTCAGTTCTGCTTAGCATCTTTTACAGAGTTGCTAATAATATCAAAATCTCCCACTCTTAAAACTGCAAAAGCTTATTTTGAAATTGTTTATTTTGAGTGAGATGCTTCATAGGTCTGGCTTAAAATGCAACCATGTAATTTAACACATCACAAATTCACTGGACTGGAAATTTCTAAACCCTGCTACCAGTATACCTGTAATATAATATCATCACACTCTAAGGCTTTATCCCACTACATTTTACAGACACCTAGAAATGTAGGTGGGAGGACACAAAGGGATAAACTCGGATAAGAACTCATTTGCCTGTGAAATAAACCAACTATTTAGGTATTTTAAGTACAATCACCCATACCATGAAAGACTTTAAAACGTAAAATGTACATTTTATGTGGCTTAAGTTTCATAATGGAGGCCCCACCAAAAATGAAAATGAAATAACCACATGTGAAAATAAACTATATTCTGAAGTTCTTTAACTGGTTGTCTACCCATAACCCTCATATTTTCAACAAATTTACTACAGCATTATGATCTTAATATTACAAATAGCAGTTCTTAAAAATGAACCCTCCTCCATTCTTAAACTCTTTGCTTTAAATTATTTTCATTTACTCATCAGCTCCTCTCATCAACACAAAGCCTAAGGAAGCCTACAAATAACATCCAGACAGGACATATATCCTCAAAGTTCATCTCTAGGATGCTGTTTTCAAGTAAATTAGTTTATCTGCATTAAATTTGTAGGGCTATTTATGTAAGATTAACTAGGCTTTAATGCCTTTTAAGTTTTTTGCCCTGTTAGAACTTAGCGAAGCAAACAATTGGAATATTTTAATTCTGTATAGGAGTGCCCACATAGGAGCTTAAAACAATGAAATCCACTTTAAAAATTAATTCAAAGTGGTTTTCCAGAATGCTTTCATGTCGGCAACACTACTCTATAATAAGAAAAAAATCAGTCCATTTAATCTCTGCATGAGAAACACACTTGGAATTCTAACAACCCGGCCAAATATTCAGTAGATGTGCCCTATTTTTTCAGTAGGTTAATTTCTACAAATTAAGTTATCACACTTAATTGTTGATAAAAATGTACTGCAAGAGTACATTATGTATTTCAGACTCCTCAAATGAAATGAAACAAAATGAATTTGAAGTCTCCTAATGCTCACAAAAATATCAGCTAAACATAGAAACATGCATGTGTGATGACATGTACGTTGATTTATTATTGATTATATTAATGTAAATACAACTAGATCAATGCAAACTCCTGATAACATATCTTTACATTCCTGACATGGGTATACTGCTGGTTTTAAAGTGTGCTCATTCAGCTACATATTGCATTAGCCTTCACTTATATGGAAGTATTAGAATTTAGTGAAGAGTTTGGCAGCAACCGCAGTGATTTGTATTTAACATACCAAGTGTTCACACATTATACAGGAATCACTGCAAGAACATATATATTACATGTCAAGGCAAGCACAGTTAAACAGCTAAAACCCTTTTTCTCATTAGAAACACGGTTATGCAATTTCTTTGGAAGATGAAGCAACAGTTTTTCTAGCAAGCACATCTACAGTACAAATTCTACCCAGTACCAAAATCAACTATAAAACTATGCAAGAACCAAGCACAGTTCCAAAAACCGATTTATCATTTTCCTTAAAATGGTACACTGTACATAGGACTTTATAGCAATGAAGAATTACCCTTTTGCCTGTAAGATATATAGAGCTGATTCACAGACAAGCTATTTCTTTACATTCTCCACTCCACCAGAAAAAGGAAGAAATGGAGGGAAAGGGGAAATTTAGACATTTATGTCAGAGGATTTTGAAATTTAAGAATAAAAAACACGCTGTGACAGTCACACACCATGCTTTTGAGAATTATTTTGAACACTAGACATATCACATTGTTCTGGACAAAATCAATGCCTACTTCCACCTCACACACCGAGTTCTTTTTCCATATGAATTCAAAACTCTGCAACTACCAAGAGAAAACACAGCCAAAAAAAAAATTAAAAAAAATCAGTGCAGTAAATCAGATTTGGAATACTAGATACAGAAACATGTAACAGTCAAGAGGCAAGTAAAAACATCTGGGCAGAATTAGCATGGCTGAAGAAGGCTCAAGACCCAACTGATTCTTTGTCAAGAGTCTACCAACATCACAATAAGAAGGAGCTTATAAATGAACTCCTTTCTTCTCCCACAAGAACTCTTGGAGCAGCTTTCCATGGGATCTTACAGCTAGGGAATAAGAAAACAATGCTATCAGTTTGAATTTAATACTCAAACTCACTCTGTTTCCCAGTGCAAATTGCTAGTTTACACCTGATTTTTCAATACAGACTGATTACAAAAGCTACTTTTAAGACCTTTTTCGAAAAAGTTAAAATAGTGAGCAGCTTTTTAGAACAGAAGAACAAGGGAACTAAAAAAAGGGCCTTTGGAGGAAGAGACATGCAAGGCTGCCAGCAAGACAAACAAGCCAAAGGTGACATATGCCAAAGGAAATCAAAGAGAAGAGCTAAGAGAAGATAGAACCAAGGTGGTATAAAACATGAACGCTAAGGGAGCCTGATGAGACGCAAGAGATATACTCCAGACAAATGCAGAAGAGCAGCAATAAAGCTTCCAGCATTCATGTGTGCACGTGGAACAGGGCAGAAGTCTGTACTGTAACTTCCCATTCCCTTTTAGTACCTTCCTGAAGGGCCAACTCTGATGACTGTGTAACAGAGGGTGAAGATTGTGGCTGTGAAGAAAGGCTTGGAGCAGGTGTCCTTACTGACGAGATCACAGCAGAGGAAGCAGATGTTCCAGCCCCAGGCTTGGTAAACAGAACGCTCTGGCTCACAGAGTGCACAGGCTGCGAAGAATCAATGCCACCTGAAAACAACAGCAGAAAGCAGGAACACTTTGTATTTGCACAGACAATTACACATTGCAAGCAATCACATTCGATTTCACAATAGCTACAAAAACAATACAGTACTTCAAAGAGAGATGTCTTCAAACAAGTATATATGGGGAAGTTGGTTGGTTTTTTAAGTTAAATACCTATAATGTTAAAACTCCATTTAAATGAACAAATTGGTCTGACAACTAACAGCAAAAAGGAAGCATGGTGTAGTAAGATCAAGATTAAGCAGAAGCTAAATTGACCCATTTTTGATTCATCCCCACAACTCCATGCTTTCACAGGTTCCCCTCTTCCCAGGTAAGAGGAACACAGTCCATGTGGGATTGCTCCCTCTAAGTATTCCTCCCACAGGCAGGAAACCTGAAAGTCAGCTGTGTAATAGACCAGTATTCTACCTCCCTTGAAGGGCTGGCACTTTGCAATTTTGGTACTCAATTATGAGACCCATATTCCAAGCAATCTGTTTCAATCAACCCTGAGTATTCCACAGAACTTTTGATGTGTTTTAAACATCTGGACTAGATATAATCTTCTTAAAAAAGTCAGATTAATGCTTTGAGAGATTTAACACAGTCCAGTTGAAATGCCTATTAGATAAGGACAATATAACTTCAATTAAGTTAGCTTTAAGAGTGTCACTCTTTGTTTATAAACTGAAAAATTCATCATATTATGATTCTTTCTAAAAACCCTGACAGATGAAGCTGTTAAAAACAAGAATTGAAAGGAAATGGTTTTACCAATACTACTCAGTAAACAAACATGGAAATTAAACAAGAACAAAATTCACTGCTGTATTTGTAGAGTACTTATTTAGGTTACAGAATTCACTAGAGAATGCACATGTAATATTAACTTTGCTTTCTCTGCACATATAGCAGTGTAGTTCCTACAGTCCCTGTCTTTCTTAAATAATGGAGTTGATATCTGAAAGGACTTTATGGGGAAGTTGAAGCTTCCTTTAGAGTGGGAAGAAGAAGAGGTGGCTTAAAATGGTCTTTTTTTCTAATTTACCATCAAAATTAACACATACATTTTCACCACCTTAATAGAACTTCTATTTATTATGCAGTTTTCAAATATAATGTTGAGCATATAGGGCTTTTTTGCAAGTGTTATCAAAATAAAAATTAAAATATGTATTTCTCCGAAGTACATACACACAGCATTTTCTATTGAAATGTACTTGCTACCACCTCTGCTTCTACACATTATGTCTTGTAGACTCCCCATGGAAGCATCAGCACCTGTCAGCAGAAAAGTGCTTGTTAGGGTAGCTACACAGCTTCCTGAAGCAAGATCTGCAAGACAACAAGGCAAGTTCTTTGTGACATTAGTGTGCTTACCCAGGTTTTGTAGCAGAGAGAGTTGCTTATGGGGTTATGGTATTTTCCACACTTCAAGTCAATATAGCAATGCTCACAACAAGCACTGCTGTAGAGCATGCTAAATGCTATAATGTCAGTGTCACATGTTCAAAGCCAAAACCAATTTACATCCAGATTAGCTGAAGATGTAACACCTTCCTGCCAAGTACCAGTACCTATTCTCAAACAAAAGTTATCCAAAATACCCTTCAAAGTTACATGGATCCTTTATATGTATTGTAAGAAAATGTTTTTAAACTCTGAGCAAAAAAATAACATAATTTATTCTTTACAAAAATCCAACCTGCAAAATTACACATTAAACTTTATTTGATGACTCTGGAAAGTTTTCTACAGTCGTAAGTAACCAAGACCAAAGGAAACACTTGGAGAAAGTTAATCTTTAAAAATATATTGCTAGTAACTACCATCACTAAGACAATCTGCGGTTATCGTAATTATGCTATCAACTTTTTTTTCCCCTTGGCCAGTAAGAAGATTGCACCCTGTCATATAAGTAGTGATCAATTTAGGATGGTGTATTTTAGCTCAAGACAAAGCTGGACTGAACACCAGTTGAGAGTACAAGTTTCCCATCAGTTCATCCAGGGCAAGCCCCATCAGGCCACACAACATTTCCACCAACTGATATTATGAGAAGCCAAAAGCTTTGTCAGGCTGCAATAAATATAAAACCTGATCTCAGTGGCACAGTACTTTGTCTTTCACCTTCCACTTCTCTCACCTTTAATGTGCACTGAAGTTTTCTCTTGTGCCTTTGAACCATGAACATCTCTTGCACTACAAATGACCAAGTATACCACTTGGTTACGAAAGCCAGGTACCAAGAAAGATCTACAGCTAAAAGGTATGTTACAGAAAGAATCTGCAGAGCTGTGCAAATTAGCAGTGTAATTCATCATTTTTCCTATACACTATCACTTAAGTTTTTTATTTAATTATTTCCAACTTGAGACCTACAGGTAGTAGTTAAAAAGCGTATCACCACGGTATCTTCTCAAGTTTTCAGAAGATGCAAGAACCACCCCTTTTGAGTTGCTACAGCTGCAATGTTCGTTTCCTGCTCCTCCCCCCCCCCAAGCAATTTCTCCTGAGAGATTTACCACCTCCCTGCAGTTTGTTTTTCAACAGCATCCTATCTCGCCGACTTTCTGTATCTTGGCTGCAGTCTGTCCCCTTTTTCCAACCACACCTATATTAGCAGATTTACAGGATTATAGCCTACATTCCTACGGAACTGGGGCAGCAAGGACTTTAGATCCTGATCTGACATAAGGGGAAGTATGTGCAGGAGATAAAGAAATTAAAGTGTCTCTTGCTCAGGCAGATGCCTACAGTTACAGGACAGTAGACAAGATCCAGGAAGCAAAGAAACCCATACCATATACCTGCAGGAGTTCTCAGTCTCTCTCTCCTCAGGGAGGAGACTAGTAAAATTTAGGCATCCTGATTGACATCCCCACTGACTGGAAAGCACCAAGAAAAATCAAAGTGCACTGATTTCAGCTGAAATAAGCTGGAAAAACATTAAGGAAAGCTACTGACCTAGAAAGACAAAAAGCCTTAGTAACACAAAATGTGTTATTTACACAGCATGACACCATTTCTGGACAGATTTATACCAACACTGTTCTACTGAAATATAGAATTTAAAACTAGAAGACAGTGTTTTTGCTAGCTGAAACCAGTCTAAACCACTGGCTGCTATTCATCAAAACAAGTCAACTTCCAGCAAAAGATTCCTTTTAAAATAAATTTCTTTTCTTCTAGTGAAATCTCAGCAAGCTTCACCGAAAATACTTCAGTGATTTCAGACAGTGGCTGCCACAGTTTTAGAAAAAGATTTTGCTGCAGTTCTACATCCTTAGTACGTGACATACAGCAGCTCAGGGGTTTGATCTTAATAGAGTCAGCATTTAGGGGGGCTTTCCAAGGCCCTACACAAATTGGTTTCTTTAAAAATCCAATTGTAAGTCCAACGCTTAGAACTTTTCTGATTCAAGTAGAAAACAATTCAGAAATCACCAAACTTCTCAAAAAGCTCATGCCAGCTTAAGTTTCCTGAGTAAGTCCTGTTTAAACACACAGATTTTATTAAAAACATGGCATTCTTCTACATAAAGTGTTTCATTTTCATCACAGAGAGCTTTCAGTGTTCACTGACTGCACAAAACTGCTATTGAAAAATACATTAAGACAGTAGCATCCTGAGTGACGGTCTTTCGAAGATTTGCTTATTTATAATTTAAGGATTGTAAGGGGTCTTATTTCACAGCATAGCACCAATTATAGCAAGCTATCTTATTGGCACTCTGACTAATAGTAGGATACCATTTAAAATTTTTTTTACATGAACAATCACAGAAAGCACACTTAGGAATTTCAGTATATCTTAAAATTTTTTTCAAGCAATTTTGCTAAAAACTATGCACAGAACAGACTGCAACAGCTTTCCATCATTGTTTCCTTCCTGGAGAACAGCAGGGAGGACAAAAAATTCAGAAAAATTCCTTCTTACGAATCATTCGTCATTTCCTTAAATTACTTGTGTGTTGTACTCGGACACTTTCCAAGGACGTACAAGAACTGGCAAATAATTTTCAAGATCCAACTCCTTTTTTTAAATGCTGCAAACAATTCAAATACTATATATAAAACTACTCCATCTGAGAACAATAAGACTGCACTCGGAAATTCAGAAAGCATATCAGTATCCCAAAAAGTAAATCAATTATGCCAGGACCAAACAACTACTTGCCATCTTTTATTTGCCACGTGTTGTAGCAAATGAATTTTTAATATATTTTAGCCAAAGATGTTGAATTACAGACTAAAAAATCAAATATTATTGGAGGCAGACTGTTTAGCCCCAGACTTCAAAAATGGTGTAAGTCTTCAGAATTTAGTAATAAAACAGCCTGGCTCTTCCTTCAGCCTAGCTACCGGTTGCTATCTTTATTTGCTCCTTCCCAGTCAGTAAATACAATCATTTGTGTGCCGAGGTTGAACCAGGATTCAGAGGGAAGAGAAAAAAGTTATTCTCCAGATAGATCAGTTCCACAATCCAGTCCACTGTGCAACAAAGCACAGGGCATGCTTATCTCAGCAGCTTTACAAGCTCTGAAAGAGTCTGAATGTGGCTGAAGTAATTATGCCTACAGTCTGGCAAACAAACCAAGTACTGCAATATTACTCAAGTGTTAACAGAAACAGTGGATCAGTGTTTATTTTCTTAACTGCAAAGTGTGTACCTATTACGCACCACTATCACAGCCAGTTCTATCATCAGCTCTTTGAAATCCAAGCATAATGTTACTACTTCTCCTTGAGGCCATGTATTAACTCAATCACTCCCTTAAGAAGAGCACCGAATTGTTCAGAAATAAGACTATCCATTGCTCACATTGCTCTTCATGGTCTGGTCAGCTCTACTGTTTCACCTTTAAAACAGTTGTTCCTTATAAAAAAATTATTGTTATGAACAAATCATATATTTCAAGACACCTCCAAAGGAAATAAAATTAACAGGCATTTAATTAAAAAACTTCTGTAAATAAAACTAACAGTCTGAACAAACAGTAACGCATCTTCATATGACTACTGCAAACCTAACTATTCTGGAACAATACCTGCATTCCGTCAAGTCCAGCTGTAGATTCTGCGTTCAACAGAATCAATTTTTTTGGCCAGAGTTTTAAACCTATAGTCCTTGAAAGAATTCGTTTTTATGCTCAACCATGAAATGCCATTAACTTCAGAAGCTTTTCAAGGAGCTCCCTATTTTTCTTTTTTAAACAGTATTTTGTTTCATGTTTTTGAAATATTACAGGAAATCACACAGAGCACCTCGTAGACACAGAATTCAAATCTACTAATATTCAAAGTACTAAAACTGAGCTGAAGGATGACACTCTACCTCCTAGTCTTGGGGGAAGAAAAAGCAATATTGAAACTAATTTCAACCTTGGTATGGATTGGATGAGCTTCATTTAAAGCTTAGCTGGCTTTCCCAGGCAAAGCTTTACCATCATCAAAACCATGATCTTTCCCAAGTCCTCTGTCTTAGAAAACCTCAGCTACAAGGACTCTTAAAACAATTCTAATGTTAAATTCTAATCTGAAATATCTGGCATAAAAAAGGAAACATTCTATAGTTCTCTAATATCTGTCTCAGCAGAAAAAGAAAGCCATTACTCTTGCACAGCTTACAAGTCAAAACTGCATGAAGTCAGAAAATTACCAGTATAGAAAGAAAACCAGAATTTTCCTGCACGCGCTATTGCAATCAGAGTGAGAGCAAGATGTTTCAATGTAGAGGCACTCCCGCAGCTCTCATCTCTTCCATTCTTCCTACCAAGTACTGCCTACCCCATGAACTTAACTCAGTTTTCCCATGAAGCAGAAACTGCATCTGCTAAAGAGGACTGAGTGTACTTGCCCTCAACTGGCACCTTCACAACTTCCTTCTTTATAGCTACATCCATACTAGAAACGTCAAGTTATTGCTTACAAAAATCAGCTAAAACCACTGAAATTGCTCTCTCATTCAAATGCTTATCAAAAATAATAATTAAAAAAAAACCCAGTTGCCTCCAAACCCATGTAGGCTTCTACTTTTTCTGAACTTTCTGAAGAGTGCATGTGTGCTCACTTAGGTAAAATTTAAAGAATCAACTTAGATGACGGCTTAAAAAAATTCTCTAGCCAGAAAAGGAAAAAAGTATCTTTGTGATTAATAGAGATATTTCAGAAATTACACATTCCTTCAGAACTGCATGAAAAAAATTCCCTTCCAAGGCTACTCACACCCCCCCCCAATAAACTAAAACCATCCCCCAAATAGTGTCATCTTCTGTACCTCTCAACAGAAACATGTCAGTGATATGATTAGCTGCTATTGTGAGGACTGTGATAACCAACTGAAAAAAGTTTCAAGAATGAATAAGGACAGAATTCAAAATTATGATACAGAATTTCACATAGTGAACAAGTACAAACCAACAAAAGCACATGATTTCTGATGTTCCCCAAACACATCCGGAAGTTCACTGTCCTTTAAATAATACCGTACCTGTATTTATTTGGTTGTTTACTTTAGCAACCGATCCAGTCAGATTCCTGCAGAGGCTGTCTTGAGTGGACTGAGCAGATGAAATAGTTGTTAATGTTGTATTATATCCCACTGGAACATGCTGTTGAAGTGAATGAGGTACTGACGTACTCTGGCTAGAAAATGTATTTGTCTCTTTGAACTGTCCAACAGCAGGTAGGGTCTGGGAGGTAAATACCTGCCCGTACACACTGCCAGCAGCCACAGGAGGATAGGAAACATTAGGATACATGGCACTAGGAACCATGGGCATGGTGTAGTGATCAGAATTAAGGGGAAATCCCTGAGATGCAACTGAAGAGCTGACAGAAGTGCTGTAGTGATTACCAAATGCCGAATATGACTGCTGAGCACTTGTATGCAAGTAGGATGCAGATGATATTGCTCCTTGAATAGGTCCTTCAGCTGACCCCACTGTATGAGCAGGAGTTTTGTTGTACAACTGCTGTGATTCCTGTGTATTCAACACATTGGTACCCACAGAAGGTGTCATAACATTTTGTGCTGGTGCTGAATAGTAAGTAGGGTAGTAATTGGCTCTATACTGATTATCCAAATGTGAAGCAGCAGCTTTACTGGGCACTTGGGAATAGTGTCCTGAGGGCACACTGTAGCTTGGAAGATGCGAGCCATAGCCAGAGGGGAACTCCATCCGACTCTGCACAGGACCTGAAATGAAGAGAAAGCATCACATGTATTAAAGGTGCATCTGCTAGTAGTGCCAATGGACTCTCTACTTACTCTAACAAACAACTGGTTTCTTCTTGTTTTCTGTCACTGTTTTTGAGGTCAGCTTCCATCAGCAGAAAGAGAACAAACCAACTATAATGCATGCAAAATGCAGTATTTGAAGGAATTTGCAAACACACACAGAACTAATGGAAAAATTGATTGCTTCCATTATCAAAAGAAGTTTCCATGCCAAGATTGTATGCCTCACATTTGTACTTTGAGTATTTTTAAGAGTTTTTAGGATGTTAATGTTTAAACAAATAGTGAGCAACAGTAAGCACCAAACTGATGTTTCTAAGTGTCTGAATACAACAGTATGCCTTAAAGAAACTAACTGAATATGGAAAATGAAAAGCTGCAGTCAGACCAATATGTCAATATATAAAAATGCAGGTACTCTTCTTTACAAATGCTCAATATGGTGACCAAGATAAAGTGCTGCAGGGCAGTTATTTTTGTCTTCTGTGTTCTTTTGTATTATGCTTTTATGAAAACCAACATTTTTATGAAACTACAGAGTATCTGACAAGGCACTTCATTTCTGTTTATTGCCTGATTCTTACAGCAGGTATAAGAGATGTTGGTATCAGAGAAATGGACCTCCACTGTCACTGCAACTGGCTCTGCAACATTAGAGCTTAATTACATACTGGTCCAGCAAGGGTCAAACAAGTACTTGTTTGCTAGAGACTGAATGTTAACTATGTCCAACTGATCAATGGTAAATCTAGAAGTTCTTCCTCAGGTTCTTTTCCTGAACCCTACTTTTATTCTCTAGTGAACCATAAATGCATTTCCTTGATAACTTCCTTTCTTAAAATTACAACACCCTACTGCTTACAGTCACACTGAATGACTATGGTGTTATTTCCCAGGCCTTGGTGAACAGGAACACAAGCACAGCACTTGGCCACTCGCAAACTGAACAGCAGCTATGATGATAATGAATTGTTGATTTCCCTCCCTATATTTACAATGTTACAAAATGTAAGTATTTCTTCTCTTGTCTTGAAATTCTGAAAAGTCACTGTTTCCAAGGAACACCCAGATGTTCTATAGTTATCTTTCAAGGCATTTTAATAATGAATTTGTTAATGGAATCCCGTAAGCAAGGAACATACTGCCCAAAATTGCTTCCTGATAAAATTAAAAATGCCTTGTCTTAAATTGACAACCCAGAAAGTTGAGTAGAAGAGAAAGGAGCTAAAAAATGAACAGCAGTAACTTGGACTGTTGGGTCAAAAGACAGAAAGGCACTTTGGGAGAAAGCATAAAGAGCTTAAAAAAAATTACATCCTGAGTTTTGAGGAGAGTATGTAACTATGCTTCTGATTCATTATTTTCTTGAAAAAGTGGGAGCTGCTTCATAGAGCTCTGTAGTTTATTCTCCTTTAAAGGAAAATGATTTTGAGTTAGCAAGTCATTAACAGCTACGTGAACTTTGGCAAACTTTTGACCTGCTTTTTTAAAGTCTGAAAGAGCCAACTCAAAAATACACCAATAACTTGTATCTGTTGAGGTTTATTGCTGTAAGCAGTTATGTCACTTAAGATGGCAAGAAAAGATGTTTTCTCTGAAGAGTCTGTGTATTTGTTTTACTAAAATATGAGGAATAAACCAACTGAGCAGGTATAATTTAGAAACTGGCTTAGGAGCACCTGACTTCCAAATAAAAGGCTGCGTATCAAATCATCTACTGCAAAGTCTTACAGTATCTAGCTCTGGTTTAAAAACACACACCATAAATAAAGACAGATTAAATTAGCAATACAAGATATCAGTCTCTACATTATAGAAAGCCCGAGTCATCTTTATTTGCATTTTTAAGTAGAAACATCTGTAAGTTTAAAACTATACATGAGCACACAAGAGTATAAATCCCATGACGTCCCCACTAAGACAGACACACCTGACATTTGAAAATTTGTATTTTTTATTTCAAACTCCTGGTCCTTTAAAAGCAAGTTTTACAATTACATATGAAAGATTATTCCCATTATCTGAAGTGAGTTTTTTGCCCATTTGATTATAAAGAATGTGAGTAGAAAGTAATTTTTGTACTGTAATTAGTAGCTGAAGCTACTAATGATGACTAGATAATTGGACAGTTTTCAACACTGGAAATCTGGGTACATCTTCAGTGTCATTTTGACATCCAGTTAATTGCACAATCTGTCCTGATGTCTCAGGTACTCCACCTTCCTCCCAAAACACCTGACAAATCTCTGAAAAAAACTCCACAAGAGGAGGTGAAAACCTTAGCTGCAGAAAGAACTGCTGAAACGCCATCTCTATAATGAAAGCAGTCAACCTCTCCTTCTACAGACAAATTAATACTTTATAATGTTACCATGTATAACTACACAGGCATTAACAGCTGAACCCCAAAAGCCTTATCACTTTTTAATGAGGGGAAAAAAGCCACCACAAAAAAAAAGAAGCAGGGCTATGGCTATACCACTATGTGAATTAGTAAAACTTTACTTGCTAGTGTCACGTTTGCTTGGTTTTTATGTCCATGCATTCTCTCACCTGAATAATTTAGCCATCTGCCATGTACCCTACCTACATGTAGTCTACATACCCTATAACACCAACTTCCTTTCTAGCCAAGAACACCTGTTAGTTTTCTGTAACTTTTAACATCCTTTTATCCGCCTCCAAAGAAGACTCACCACAGCTCCCTCACATACCCCTCATGGGACGGACAGGGGACAGCACTACTGTGTCTTGTTAATTGCTGGCAAACAAGCCAGCAAATCAAACCACTGCTGAGCTCCCACAACAGCTCAGTCATGGAATTAATGTCTAGCTCCTTCATTCACCCAGATTCCCATTTTCACAAAATATTCAGGGATTTTGTATCTTTTGGACCTCTATCCTCTTTATCAAGTTTAATGAAACTATCCAAAAGATCCAAAAAGATCCAAAAGTCTGAGGAGGGATGGAAAACAAGGCTAAATAAATAACATCATAAGAAAATTATGGTCCCAAAATGCCAATGGTAATCTTACAAACCAGTTGTAGACAACACTAGACAAAAATCTTCTGGAGAACCATGGGGATTCAACACAAGTATCCTCTCAGCATTACATTTCAATACATTAAATTGTTAATGCTGAAGTCTTCCATCACTACTGGAAAAACACATCATCTTTTAGTACTGATTTAACAAGCAACATTTTATTATGCTGAAACTGGGAGACGGGTCATTCTCCACTTAGATACAAAGCCACCTGTAAGGCTACTACAGTAAAAGCTTCTCAAGCTTGCAAGACTTTATTCAGAAGAACAGTATTTTAAAGCCCCAGACTTAAGAACATCACCCCAAATGAGGGTGGCTTTTTTTTTTTTTTAAACACGTAAATTTAGTATAGGATCAAACTGAGAGCACTGTAGGAAAGAATAAAAAAAATACAAACAAGATTTTTTTTTTTTTTAAAAGACTTAAGTTATACTAAAACTAAAGTCTCCAAGGGTCTTAAATGGACTTGGTGATTGGGGCCGGGCAAAACTTATTAAAAACAAGGCTGAACATCCTTTTTAATATCACTGTATGTGCAACAGGTTGCTTGCTTTCTGCAAAAACCAGCCCCTCTTTCATCAGATCCCAGTAACTTCAAAGTTTTACCTGAAAAATCCACATTTTATGAAATTAAAACACAGAGCACTCTGAACATCTGAAAGGATGCAGTAGTGTTTTCTTTCAGCCAATATAGAAATAACTGTATTCACTTAAGTATCTTACATTTAAACTCCATTATACTGACATAGAAACCAAATTTCACAAAGAAGATTGTCTTTGCTTTTGAAATTTAATTTTATCGGACAGAATGGAAATTTCCAGTGACAGAAGAAGACTACACTCTTCCCCTCTACCACCCCTCCTATTACAATTAAAAAAACAAAAGAAGCCTCAAATCCTTTGTTATAACTTCAGAAGCTTAGTACTAAAAGACGACAGATACACTAATCTAAAAATTCTGGAATGCTGTTGCTAAATGACATAAAATGACAAATTCAGAGTTCTTGCCTACAAATCATCAAATACACATCCCTGTAAGATATCTTAAGGAACACAGAAGCCAAAGTTAAATTGAGTAGTTAGAAAGTTATAAAATAAAAATTCAAGACTATTACTGAACAGTAATTAAAGAAAAAGTGTTTCGCAGAAAATAAATGGTCTACTACAAGGTTTTAAACGAGTTGCTTTTAAGAATATTAGCAGCAACATGGAGTTAACAAATGGTAATGATGGCTCTTTAGAACTACCGTTTCATTCAGTTAAAAACACAAGGAGAACGTTGCATGTCAGTTTCTATTTGTTTCTGTCAAACGCGCTTCCAGGTTATTGATGCTGTAGTAGCTGTGTCCTGACAATGACATGTTTTTTTACTGAAATCCGTAAGTTGGCATTTTCTGAGTAATTTTGACAAAACTCAGCATTACAATACTAAAGTTTGGACACATCTGAGGCATTATTATCTCCCCAATATCCACCTTCCTTTTCATTCACTTCAGTGACTTTTGCATTATCTGGAAACTGACTCAAAACCTACTTTATAGGCATGTAAGCGCTTATCGCCTAACTACCCCTTTGGAGATAAGAAATATTTACGAGTAAAAAATTTCGTAGGTCAGTACCCTGCGTACTGATCTGCGCAGGAAAAAAAAACGCTTCTGCACAAAACAGTCAGACTACAAAATAAAGGGTTTAACAGCGGGAGCTAAAACTCTGTGCAAGCAAGAGGCCCAATTTAGATACAAAACCATCATTAGGTGCGGATGAAGATCACACAGTTAACGAGGTGTATTAATAAAGAACTGATTTTATAGCACACCAATTTAAAAATGAGGAACTGCACGCTAGTTATTTTAATTCATAGCACAGTTAGTCTCGACACTTCTCCGTCTGAAAAGCACATCGGTATTTCGTGACTTTGAGCTGTTTTACCTTTGTTTTTCAGCGACCCACGTTCCACGGGTCCGATCTCGTTTATTCAACCCCAAACCCCAGATCCAGCCGTGCGAGCGCCTACCCACCTAACTCCTTTCAAGTTCCTAAACAGCTACGAAGTAAAGCAAGCCCTCTCACCCTCAATACGTGGTCGCCTGCCCACACTCACGCACGAGCGCCAGAGCCCAGGCCTGGCGGAGCCTCGGCCTCCACAGCCTTCCCGAAACGCCACAAAGCAGCCGCCGCGACCCCCGGCAGATCCAAATTCCCGAGACGAGAAAGAAGCGGACACCCCCTCCCTCGCTCCTTTCGCGAGGCGGGGCGGGGCTGCGCCTTCTTAAAAGTTAACTCCGCACGTAGCGGCGGGGGCCCGGGGCGGGACGCGCGTTTCCCAAGCGGCTCCGGCGGCTTCTGCCGCCTTCCAGAGAAAGGGCTTCCTCACCTGCCGGCTCCGCCGCGGCCCACCGCCGGGCCCCGCAGCGGCCGCACCTCCCGCCCCCCCAGGAG